TCGCTTTTGGGGGGTTTTTCCCCTGTGTACAGTACCTGGTACTTTTTTCAGTACCACCGAGCCGTACTGTTACCAAAATGTGACGTGTAAACCCTGCTGATCACTAATTGGCAGGAGAGAATCGCCACTACCTGCGTCATTAAACTTGCAACACGAGACACTAGACCCGCTAGATTAAATCAGCACAGCCAGCGAGGATCAAACAAGTTTTCGATGATGTCACGGCAGTAGAGGCAGCGCAACTATAACGACATGTCTATAATCCCACCCACTCTAAAGCAGTACTAAACTGCAGTGGAAACACAAACCGAGCCGAGCCGGTCAGTCGTAGCAGTTTCCGTGATTTGGCTCTTCTTATTAATATTAAAATTAATAAGAAGAGCCAAATCACGGAAACTGCTACGACTGGCCATTTTAACATCAGCGTCATGTAAGATACTTGTCTAGATTTCCCTGCTCACTTACGTGGGTTTATTATAAGCAGCCACTTCTATAAAGTCATGTGAAGTTTATTTAAATAATGTTTTTATAATAAATTAAAATGATACTAATACATATTTCATTAGACATAAACGTTGTATGTGATGCACGCAACCACATCACATCTAGAAAATGCTTGTTTTTGTCCCGTCCGAATTGGTACATGAAATCACAGACGTCGGGTGATAAGAATTGAAACTCAAATGTAGTTTAGAAAACATTGTCCTGTCCGAATAGGGTTTTAGATTCGATCTTTTTGCCAACTTGTTTTCAACGAGCACAGGTTTTGTTTTGTTTTTGGAACTGACTGATCATAGGCCTCATTTATCTGAGCTTCTGCACCTCAGTATGGAATGAAAAAAAGCATTACATGTGGGTAATTTTGTTCACTCAAAAACTGAGGTGCATAAACTCAATGATCAATCAGTTCCAAAAAGAAATACAAAACCTGTTAATTTAAGGAAAAAAGTTGACAAAAAAAATAAATACAGTGTTTGGTAATATTATAGTGTAAAGAGAAATTTATAAGCAATTTTTATAGGCTGATCGTTTTTGACTTGGAACATCACAAGTGTAACAAGGTGGGAAAAACATTCCAAAAAAGTACAAACATTATCTAACTGTTATACCCTTTGTGAGCAAAGTCAGTAAGTCCACTGCAATAACATTAAGTAGAATTTTCGGGAGAAAGAAAATCCTCTACTGGTCAAAATGTCCAGAACACAACATGAAGGTTAAATAGTTCACCCAAAAATATTATACTCCCCAAATATTATACACCCAAAAATCATTTACTCACTCTCATGTTGTTCCAAACCAGTATGACAATGGCAATGGGGACCAGAAACTGTTTTGTTACCAACATTCTTAAAAATAGTTTTCTTTAATTGTGCTCACCTTTCACAGAAAGAGTCCCGTCGCCACAAGCAGAAACAGAAGCACCGTGATCGTTTGAGACACAGCGAGAGGGGAGATGGCAGACACGGAGGAGACATGCAACAGTGTCTGGGGCCGAACTGTATCGAGTCAGCACGTCCAAACTCAAAATACTGCTCTGAGGACTGTGGCATGAAGCTGGCTGCCAAGTAGGTTATTTCATTAAGTGCAGCCAACCAGCATGGAAGAGTCACGCAATGTTATACCAGTTTAATGTGTTTTAAGAAGATCGTATTGATTTATTGATCTGCCGATCTGTGCAGCCGGATCTACGAGATCCTCCCGCAGCGCATCCAGCAGTGGCAGCAGAGCCCCTGCATCGCTGAGGAACAGGGCAAAAAACAGCTGGAGCGCATCCGCAGGGAGCAGCAGGCCGCACGGATGCGCCTCGCCGAGATGGAGCGCCGTTTCCACGAACTCGAGGGCATCATTGCCAAAGCCAAGCAGCAGGTCATCCAACAGGATGAGGATGTGAGTTTTCAGCAATACTTTCTCATGCTAATGTCATTGAATTTTATAGAATAACTGGATGGAATTTATGTGTTTCAGGGATTTTGTCAGGCTTATTAGGGTAAGCTAGCTAATGTCCTGTCTTGCAGGTGAATGAAACGGACAGTGAGGACACAGACCTTCAGATCTTCTGTGTGTCCTGCAGTCACCCCATCAACCCCAAGGTGGCGCTGAGGCATATGGAGCGATGTTATGCCAAGGTGAATGTTTTGTTTTCTGAGCCTATTTATTGATCACTGATTTAGTGAATGATGATTTTTTTTTTTTTTTTGTCATATAT